GGAGGTTTTTTTTTCGGGGGGGGGGGGTGTCTGGGCGGCATGAGTGACATTGGCCCTCTGGGAGGATTTGAGGACTGGCACTGGCCCTAAGGTAAATTGAGTCTGAGACCCCTGATATAATATGTACCACGAATGGGGCAAGGTATGTATGGTGCATGGCATTTGTATCTTGGGATGATGGAACATACAGGGTGTGGCACTGAGGAAATGAGGGTCTAATGTATGTTGTGTGAGCATGAGCATACTGCCAGGGTGAAGGGGATGGGTCTGAGCCTCTACAAAGGTGCTATCCCCCAGTAATGGGTGTATAAGGCCCTACAGACTGGAGCTGCTGGGGTGGGGGAACTCTGCAGCATTTAGTACTTGGTTGGGGATTATGGAGTGAGTCTGTAGGATGTGAGATCCAGGGGTGGGACACCAGTTTAATTTTTTCTTTTCAAAAGTTTTTCAACAGAACAAATTTTTTGATTGAATATAAATTTGTTTTCATTTATTTCTTTTATTGCTCAAATTAAAACTTTCAAACAAAAATTTTGATTTTTTTATTATTACATTTTTTTTTTAATTTGGATGGGTGTAATAGAGCTAAAGTCTCATTACCGGGCCAGGTGGTGTCGTGGGTAGTGCTCCCCATATACCTCTCAGCAGGAAGGCCAGTTCCTCACCTGAGGATGGGTTTAGCTACACCTTGAGTGCAAAGTCCTTGCCCTCTTCTTATCAGAGGGGGAGCAAGACTGGAATGAGGCTTATGCCTTGCTTGCCGAAGGGGAAGTTGGTAAGGGAACCCGCGCCCTCCCATTCCACCAGGCTCCTATCTAGGGTTCTATGCAGGGCCGGTGCAAGGATGTTTCGCGCCCTAGGTGAAACTTCCACCTAGCGCCCTCCCCCCTCCCTGAGCCCTGCGGCAGTTCCCCGCCCTGAGGCGCCCCCCTTCAGCAGCTCCCCACCCCCCCTCGCCCGGGGAGCCGTGCGGCAGCTCCCCACCCCAGCTGACCTCTGCTCCGCCTCCTCCCCAAGCACATCGTCGATGCTCCACTTCTCCCGCCTCCCAGGCTTGCGGCGCCAATCAGCTGTTTGGCGCTGCAAGCCTGGGAGGGAGAGAAGCAGAGCGGGGTGGCATGCTCAGTGGAGGAGGCGGAGCAGAGGTGAGCTGGGGCGAGGAGTTCCCCTGCGTGCCACCTCCCCCCCTTACTTGCTGCAGGTGGCCCTTCCCGTGCCCCCCTGCCCCAGCTCCCTCCGCCTAAATGCCGGCGGCGACTGGGGTGCCCGAATATCCGGCCGCTGCGGTCGCCACCGAAGAAAATGCCGCCCCCCAAATCCTAGTGCCCTAGGTGACCGCCTAGGTCGCCTAATAGGTTGCACCGGCCCTGGTTCTATGAGAGTCAACAGGGTCAGGCATCCTGGAGTGCCCTCAGAGTTATCCTCCCTAGGTCACTTCCTATGATCACTCTCTCCTCCATGACTTCAAGGAGGAGACTACCAACATCCGGCAACAAAAGAAAAAGAAGAGGCAACTAAACCTTCAGCCCCAACTGGGTTCAGCATGCAGTCCTACTCCCCAGAGGGAGGCTTCTTCAGCACCCTTGTCCAGGAGCTCTCAAGATAAGTCTGTCTTCCAGCCCAGCCTCCCCCAGGACTGAGCAGGGCTACTCCCTTTTAAGCTTCCTGTCCAATTGTAGAATGCTCTGCAGGGGCATGGCTACCTGCACCCAGTACTGTCCTTTAACCCTATTGGGCCCCATGTGGGGTATGTACACCCGATCAAAATGGGAAATCACTTTCTTTCACTTTAACAAAAAGTATGCCTCCTTTTTTCCACTAGAAGGGACTAAAAGAGGGAAGGTACCCACAGTGAAAACAATTAAAAAAATTTTTTTGTTTAGAAAATTTCTTGGAAATCCAAAACAATTACTTTCAAACAAAATAAAGAAATTTGTCGGCAAAATCAACGTACCTTTTTCGAAAAGCTCTAGACAGGAGGATATATAAATTGTTGCATCAGCAGTACGGCCAGCTCCAAACATTCAAAACTCATGGGTCACACAAATCTCATGACTTTCTGGGGCCTAAAAACGATGAGATTAAAAAAAATGTTGGATTATTTTTATTTGCCTTCTAGTTTCTGAGCCTCCAGAGTCACTCGGTTCTTATTTTCAAGTTTTTCTCTGCAACCACCAGAGTTAGAAACTTCCTCTTGCTTTGAACGGAAGATTCTCATAATCTCATTATTCCAGGAGCTGGAGCTTTAGGACGTCACATACCACAAGACTCTCACTAGAACCCTGTACGTGTACGCGTGTACATGCCCATAGGCGATGCAGAGTCTAGTTCCCAGCTGTGGGATGGAGATTCCTATTGGCTATGATACTTGCACTGGGGGAGCCATATACCTATGGCGAGTGAGTGGTTTGGTTTAGGGTGTAACACTTAGTTGAGGAACTGACATATGGATGGGCTTGGCAGAATTCAATTTATTTATTTTTAGACTTGAGACAGACAATAATGCTTATTTTAAAGCATTTTTTATTTTTACCATTTGAAATGTTCAAAATTGCAGGAGACAATGGGGGGGGGTGCGTATGTCAGAAAATAATTAATGACAGTACCTGCTGAGATTCTGAAAGTTAAAGCTTCATAAAGATAAAAATCACAAATTGTCAACATTACATGTCAAAACATACAAATATCCATAAATCAAACTTCAGCCCTCAAACAATAGTTTTCTTCCTTTGCCTTGTCTATAAATTTTTATTAACAATGGAAATAATTTTTCATCAGTGTGTGTGTGTGTGTGTGTGTGTGTGG